GTCTCATGATTTCCATTCTCCTTTTTTGTGGCTGGTAATCTAGCTTCCCTGACCCTCCTAACCATCTCATCTTGCTTCTGAGTTAGAGTTGATTTTTAGTGGGAAGCACAGTACTCATAGAGATATAATTTAGAATTCTTATGGATTAAAAAAGTGGAATAAACTTTTTGTCTCAACCTTATGCCTTAAACGTTCCTTTTGAGATCTCTAGGATGATTCAGAGACCACAAGAAAGTCCTGGATTTAGGGCTACAACTTGAAAAGGAGAGTTCTGGGACCTGCTAATTAATGATCATGGAATTTTGTAAGAAATTTAGGTAATAGAACTATTAGTTAAATGAGCTAGTGAAGATGAAAATAGCCTAGCTTCTGAAACTGGATGTACACTCAGGCAGTTTTGCAGAAATTAATGAAAATTGAGGCTGATTACATCATTACATAGCTGCTAAATCACTGAGAATCATGGTCCAGCTAAGATGACACATCACCTTGACTATTTCAGCCAGCCTTACTCTTTGCAGGACTGCATTTTTTACTGCCAGACATTTTCCATCCTAGTAGATTATTTACTGTTGTCACAAATGCTGAATGTAGTATAAAAACCAGGTAAGTGAGAACTAGATAAAGAGTAAGAGTCAAAGATACAGAGCTAAAATGACAGGTAACATTTGATTTCCTACTAAGTGGCTTCCAGGTTTCCCCTCTGCCCAGGGGTGTGCTCTCCGTGTCCCCCCAGCACCTCCTCCCAACGGCTTTTCCTCTGTATCTGCAATATGCCTCTTCGCTATTATCTGAGGTGACTTCCACCCGCTTCCAGGCTTCCCCTCTGCCCAGGGGCGTGGGCAATTTGCATGTTATTCTCTATGAAGGTAGTTCCAGTTTTAGTATCTTAATAATAGTTGATGAAAAGGAGCTCTGTTTACACAGTGCTTAAGCACTCAACAGCTAAAGGAAAGGTTGACTGATTCTGTAAAGAATACAGCCTTGGAGACCACACGTGCTGAGAAACTGACCTATTTTTGGCGGATTGTTTTCTCTCTTGGTTTTATTGAGAAAAGGGTCATGTCTTAATCTCAGTAAATTGGTAGGGCCATTTCTAAGAAAAATAAAGTCACTTGGATAATAGTTTGTCATTTATATGCTCAAAGATACTGCCAAGAAGAACAAAACACACCCTGGGTGGGAGGGCTGTGGTTTGTCTAGTTTTTGGTTTTTATGCTTTTCTTGTCATTACAGAAGTCGAGGGTGAAGGCTGCTTAGTGGAGTGGCCTTGAGGGGATTGCATAACAATGAAATGTTTTTCTTTTCAAGGGGAAGGGGTGGGGTAGAGAGAAAAGTGCAACAATGAATGACTGGAAACCCTAGTCTCTGTAAACTTTCATTAAAATTAATTTTTTTAAAATGAGAGGTTATTACTTTGAAGTTGTTGTTGTCATGTGCCGTCGAGTCGTTTGCGACTAGAAAAAATTATCTTTTTTAAGATAAAGACATGCATTTTGAAATCTTATTAACACTTAACAGATCTTTTCCCTCTCGTATTTTTTTAATTACTGAATGGTTTATTTCTACCACTGAATGATGAACCACCTCATGACTTTAAATACCAAGAAGAATTTTTATTGACTTCTTTGGTCTTCTTTTGAAAGTACATGAAAGAAGGGCAAAGATAATTTATGTTGGGTTTTTGGATGCGATCCACCTGGGAAAACCATTTTCTCTCTATCCTGTTCCTCAGGTTTTCTTTGCTATGTTTAAACACTAATCTGTATGGTTTAAATGCTTTACTTGCAGTATTGCTGAGTTGGTTAACATTGTTAAGCAGTGTTTCTTCCCTATTTTATTTTCTATATCCTGAATTCTGGAATTGCTACATTGCTCAAGCAGTGCGGGGCTCCACCAACTCTAGGGAAGACAAAAATAATGAGGCAATTCTGGCTTTGTTCTTCAATAACTTGGGCTTAAAATGATGGTTTACATTTCATTTATTATTGCTTAGTTCTATCAGATCAAAATTTTTATAGTTTATATTTTGTTATTAAGAGAATTCATACAAAAAACACATTCTGTTATTTTCCCTATCTTACATAGTCTTCTCTATGTATTAAAAAGACTCACTCTAACAAAGATAGTAACTGTCCCAGGTTTATTTACTTTCTGCTCTATTTTCAGTCCAGTCTACTTTTCTCCTATAGTCCTTAGTTAAAGCCAAAGTTTTGTAGTGGAAGAAACAATACATGCATTTTTCTTTACTGTTTTAGGAGATAAACTTTTATTGTAATCTTAAAACCTTTAATAAAAGAGGTTCAAAAACAACATAAATTTCCTTTCAATACTGTAAGACCTCCGTGTTTCTAGATAACTTGTGATAGTTCTGTGAAAGAAATATCTATAGTTGAAATACACTTTTTTTCAGTGTGTGAATACTGAAGCCTATTTTGTTGAAATACAATTCATTGCTAATGAGAGGTATGTTCCATAATCCAAGATCTCAAAAATATGTAAAGTGACTTAATATAAGCTGTTATTCCTGCATTTCCTATAAACTGGTAATATAAACAGTAGATAAATTTGAGCTCATAAGAGATTTTTCTAAGGTTAAATGTATTCTTATATCTGGTATTAAAAATTAGAGATAGAGATAGATGTTGAACCCTTTCCTTCTTTAATGAAAAAGTGTCAATGGTTTGATGTGTTTGTGTTTTAAGATCTTCTAAGCCTACCGTTTAAGAGTTTATTTACTGAAATGAATGATCTAGATTGAGAATAGCAACTGACCTACCTTCTGTCATGTTTATCCTGTCCTTCTGATCAGCCTTTATTGAATGTGTGGTTTATTGCCTGTTTTAGTAATCTGGGTTTCCATAAAATTTGAATTTTTGACCCCTAAATTAATGATTGCGCTCTAGATAACTAATCATGAGAAAACAGGAGAGATTACCTTCATTGGAACAATAAAGTTTACAATAATTATTTTCCACACTTACGTTGTTAGACCTTTGGAATTTGTATCAGTACTTGGGCAAATGAATGGTGCTTCTAGGTAAAATGGGCAAATATACAGTCTGTTGACTTAAAGGGTTACAGAAACCAATGCTGAACTATTAAAAATTCTGTGTAGGTTTCCAATTTTTTTGAGAACCTTTACTCAGAAAATTGAGCATGTTATCCCTTCACATTTTAGTCCTTCATCTATCTGTTCTTCCTACTCATTGAGGTATCTTCATTTCTACATTAGGGAGTTCTTTGCATTCATGTAAGACATACACAGATGTTTTTGAACTAATATGCAAGGCTGCCTAGTGCAAAGAAAAACAGAACAAAGTTGCCATGCTTTTGAGCACTCAAAGGTTGAGAGCACCAAAGTCAATATGGATTTAGAAGTTAGATTGATTCATGTTCATAATCCTTTGTGATTGAATCCTGGCAGAAGAATTACTACACTCTGAGCAATCTCACTGAACAAAAAGGAAGATACTTAAAAGTCCTTTTGAAGCAATATATAATAGATACATAATACTGAGTAAAAAAAAATACATTGACGTTTGTTTCCAAAGTCCATGCTTCTGATTCTCAGAAAATGTTTTTCCAGCCCAAGAAACAGTTGGTACCTGTAGCAGTTTTTTGAGACCTTGTGACAGCTAAGATCATAGTTAGTTAAAAATGCTGTAGGGTGGGAAGTGGACTATATTTTACTTAATTTTGTCTACTTGTAAAAATATTTTAATATATACACAATGATTCAGACCTTAGAAAGTCACCTTTTGGGAAAGCCTGCTTGGGAACACATGGAAACTACTGTGGATAACTTCGACCTGAAAAATCACTTTACAGACCATAAAGCAGGGCAAGAAAACAGAACAGGCGATTGAATGATAGATCTGTGTAAACAGTAGGTAAGTTTTCATTAATTTACTCAAACTTCTGTTAAGTAGTTTTTACCTAATACATAAATTCTAAACCTTGTAGCAATGAAAAGTATTGCTCAGTAATCATGAAGTTGAAAATAAGGCTCTTGTTATTGGTCATGAAGAAATTCTGTCAGAGAACCTTCTAGGTTAAATACATTGAGAAAAATGGGATAGGTAAGCAAATATAAATAAAATATTTAAAACCATGTTGAAACTTTGTTCAAGTAGAAGTGCCTGGGTTTTTTGAGTAGTACTATTGCCAGTTGCTTTTAGGGTAGCTTCCCCTCATTTTCTTTTTAAGAAGAGTATGAGTCATGTATATGCCATTATAGCAAGGTGTATTAAAAAAGTAGGCTTAATGACATTTATCTATACAGTGTCTTGAATAGTACTGAAAATTTTTGTAATTTATGAGATGGAAAGAGACCTTTTCATTTCTATAGAAAATGGGTCTAATAAATTAACCAACTACCTCATGAAAAATTCAGCAACAGAATTATAGGATTTTGTGATTTTATATGAATTTTAAAAGTAACATTCGTTTCAGCTAGCAAATAGAAAAATCAAGCACCAAACTTCTCTGATTTCATTAAAAACAGAGTTCTCTAATCTTTTCTAACCAAAGACAAAGGTAGTCTGTTTCTAGTGCTATTTTCCACAACAGATAATTTTCTCTGCTTATACAAGACTTGTAACACTTAAAACCCAACCCCAAACTTCAGTCTACCTGCCATCCTTTAACCATGTAAAGAATTCTCATAGCCAGCGAGGTAACTTAAACATGAAAGGCTTTCGAGACAAATAAACCCACCTATTCTCTTACTGAAGAATTATTCCTAGCTGGTTTTTGGTTTTTAATAAACTTTGGACTCAGTCATGTCTAATGTTTTCCAAATGTCAAGAGTATAAATTCCAACACAGTTTAAAGGCAATCCTTAAGATCAAATGTGATTTTTGCCATTTGTCTAATGTTGACAGACAAGCATTCGTCAACACTACGCATATGTGGGTACAATATAAACGCCTTTCCATAAGGGCAGGTTGTTGCAGAATTGATGTATCAAGGCCATTGAAGTGACAGTATAACTGTGGTCAAGCATTAAGAAGTTCATCATCAGAGTGTCCAATAGCATCTGGGTTTGAAAGTGGATCCAAGTCTGCAAATAGATTAAACCAGGCTGACATGTCTTCATTACCATTGTTAGGGGCTATATAAAAAAGAAACCAAACAAACAACAAACACACATTAATGAATTAAAGCTTTCTGAAGTTACATTTTTGTCCATTATTATAATTTTTAAGTGGATGTTACTTTTGAATAAAAACATCTTACTGTAACTGGCAAGAATACTAATCATATCCCATTTGAGGATAATTTTGAAATGCTAATGTAGATCTCTTGGGCTTTACTGAGGTTGCTAATATTTAAATAATGGTATAGTGCTCTAACAGCCTTGAATCTATAAACAAGAATATAAACAATACAGAAATCCTAGAACCAGTAAAATCACTCATAAAGGCTTTCCAAAAGTAGCCTTTATTCTTTCAAACAGGAACATATTTGTGAAATCAGTGCTTAAACGTTTACATTTATTAGTTGTAAGAATTATTTTACATAAAGTGGGGAAAAATTGCTTAATCTTACCACATTAACTTACCTGCTAGTCATCATTGTGATTTTATTTCATTTTTCCTTTCTACATAGACTTTTAAAAATTTCACATTTGTAAATCCCCTCAAACTGTTCATTAACTGTAAGATTGGATTTTAAAAATAATAACTAGTAATTAATTACACAGGTGAGGGATCAGACTACAGTTTGGTCAAAATTAACATAACCGGTGTAGCAGGGATGGCTACCATACACTTCCTGACATGATAATATGAAAGGCCACAAATATCACCTATGCAATACTCAAAAAATCAAGGATGAATAATCTACATCTAATCTGGGACAATCGGGGTAGGGATGCCCTGGCTCAAGTCACAGGTGACTTGACAGTGTATAGCAACAATCATGAGACCTCAGAAAACCCTGAAGTAAAATTTGTTTATTAAAAAGCAGTGAAGCAAGACTATATTCCTTAACAAAACAGATGTCCTAAAAGAAAATGAAAGCCTACAAAAATGTTTCCAGATTTTATGAGGCTTAGCTGATGTATTCTCTAAATATAATACCTGTAATATAATACCTGTTCCAGAGGAGGAAATAGCTTATTTGGTAAACTCACAAATTTGAAATTAAAACATAACATTAGGGGAATATAGTGTTAGCAATTTTTTTTAAGTTGACAACCACGCTATGGTGGTGGTTGTTTTGTTAAGTGCCATCGAGTCGCAGGCAACTCATAGCGACCCTATGAAGGACAGACAGTCCTCAACACTTGGGTGTCTCATCATCTTTCCAGGTTTATAGGGTTTCCGGAGGCAAGCTTATTACGGAAGTGGATGCCAGTCCTGCTTCCAAGCTTGGCAAACTCTTCTTTTCAGTTCCATGTTGCTATGGTTATGCAAGAGAAAATACCTATTTTTAGGTAATACAAACTCATACAAAATATTGCTAGATAGAAGGCAGTAATGTATCCGTGGGAGGAAGAGAAGTGGAAAGACTGTGGAAATCAAATGAGACACGCCAAGTGAACTTGAAAGGCTACATGAGTATTGTGCTATATTTCTATATGCTTAAAATTCTTTGCCAATTAAAAGTTTTAAGAAAATCTAGCCCAGAGACTAAGACACATGGTCCAGAAAATCTTGCATGTTATATAGTATATCTCTTTTCTGTATATCATTTTTAAATGCACTAATTCCACAAGATATTGCAATGGTAGATAGTCTGTGTTATCAGTTACTAAAAAATAAGGCTCCAGGAATAGATGGTATACCAATTGACATATTTCAGCTAACAGATGCTGCCCTGGATGTGCTCACCAAGTTGTGACAAGAAATCTGGAGAACAACCACTTGCCCAACTGACTGGAAGAGATCGATATTTGTTCCCATCCCAAAGAAAGGTGACCCAACAGAGTGTAGAAACTATAGAACAATCTCACTGATTTCACATGCAAGCAAAATTTTACTGAAGATTATCCAAAAACGACTGGAACAGCATATCAACAGAGAACTACCACAAGTCCAGGCTGGGTTTAGAAGGGGTCGTGGTACCAGGGATATTGTAGCTGATGTTAGATGGATCTTAGCTGAAAGAGAATACCACAGGAATGTCTATCTGTGTTTCATTGACTATGCAAAGGCATTTGACTGTGTGGATCATAACAAACTGTGGCTGACTCTGAGAAGAATGGGAATCCCAGAACACTTGATCATGCTAATGCGAAACCTATACTTGGACCAGGAGGCAGTCGTCAGAACAGAGCAAGGGAACACTGCATGGTTCAAAACTGGGAAGGGCGTACACCAGGGATGCATCCTATCTCCATACCTTTTCAACTTATATGCAGAGCAGATTATCCGGGAGGCTGGGCTCTATGAGGAGAAATGTGGGGTCAAGATTGGTGGACGATTTATCAGCAGTCTGCGTTATGCAGGTGACACAACCCTGCTTGCTGAAACTGAAGAGGACCTGAAGCACCTGCTGCAGAGGGTCAAGGACTGCAGCCTACAATATGGATTAAGGCTCAATGTCAAGAAGACAAAGATTCTCACCACTGGACCAATTGGCAGCATCAGGATGGATGGTGAAGAGATTGAGATTGTTCACAGCTTTAGTTTGCTTGGCTCAACAGTCAACACTCTTGGCACCAGTAGCCAGGAATTAAAAGGCGCATTGCCATGGGAAAGTCTGCTGTTAGGGACCTCTCCAAAGTACTGAAGAGCAATGGTGTCTCCCTGGAGACTAAGGTGTGTTTGATACAGGCCATGGTCTTCACAATCACTTGTTATGCATCAGAGAGTTGGATAATGACCAAGGAGGATAGACGGAGAATTGATGATGCCTTTGAGCTGTGGTGCTGGAAAAGAGTATTGAGAATACCATGGACTGCTAGGAAAACATACAGATTCGTCCTGGTAAGGGTTAAACCGGGTGGCTCCGTGGAGGCAAGGATTCTGAGGCTCTGTCTAACATACTTTGGACATGTGAGGAGAGACCGGTCCTTGGAGAAGGACATCATGCTTGGGAGGGTGGAGGGACGGCGCAGGAGGGGAAGGCCCTCTATGAGGTGGATTGATTCAGTGACTGGGATAATCGGGATGGGAGTGTCGGAGACAGTGCAATTGGCACAGGACAGAGCAGAATTTAGGGCTGTTGTACATAGGGTCGCTATGAGTTGCAAGCGACTCCATGGCACATAACAAACAACAACATGTACCCTATGCTCTGCAGACTGCTTGCATGCATTCTTTATCAATGGCATCCTATCATTAGAAAACTTAAGACAGTGGTGTAAATAGTTGAATACCGGTATGTTCTGCCCAACCCAATGAAAAAGTGCATAAAGGATGTGAGGAAACCGACCCAGAACTCTGGAAACCAGCAAGTTACACCTAAACAAAGCAAATGCTAAAACAAAAAGAAAGCTGATATTCCACAGTAGGAAATGTTGTCTTGTTTCTAATCTCACACCACTGTGGCAGACCTGGTGCAGCCAGCTGTGAACTGTGCTCCTCTTTGGCTCAGGGCTGTCAGTTGGACTTAATTTCTGCTGGCACATTGCTGCATGAGACTCTTCACCTCAGTCAGACTCTGTCTAATGGACCAAGGATGAAAGATCCACCCAGAATAGCCATCCTCCTCTCTCAAGAGACTGGAAGAAGTGAGCGATGCCTGCGAGCTCTAACTGCCCTGAATCATCAGAGACTAATCAACATGATCGAGGCAAACAATAGGCTTCTGATGCCAAAGAAAAGTTGATGAGGTTCTCAGTTAAATTTTAAAGTTAAAACTTTAAGAAACAATTGTAAACTAAAAACAGCATAGTTACACAAGTGACAGTTTAGGAAATTCTAAAGGTTCATCCCTCTACAAAACAATCCACTGAAAAAGTGCACTTGGAACAAACTATTTTGGGACTCTGGAAGCAGATCACAGTCAAGCAGGGAAATAGATTATGATTGGACTGCTGTTAATGTGCTGCTGAGTCGACCCATAGCAGCCTTATGACCAACGGCTCTGAATCTCACCCTATCCCGTGCAGATACCACCAACCTGAGCCATGTATGCCAACCAGCTAACACCCTCCATGCCTCAGCCCCACCAAAAAGATGAGTATGGACACTCCATGCTCTAGAGTGGCTGCCTGGTGCCGAGTAAGGGAGGGACCTTTCCCCCTAGAGATTTTTGTAGTTGCACAGAAGGATAAGTCTGGTGGTGCCCAGGAGAGGTTGAGAAAATTGCAGAGGTCTGGTCCTTTAAGAGCAGTAGCTTGTCCCTGCTGGCCAGATCAAGGGACATTGTAGTCCCTCATGGAATCAGTAAGGCTGTCAACAGACAGTTGCAATAGTAAGACTTGAACCCTACACTTTACAAAACTTGGTGTGGAAGAGGTACTAAATAAATAGTTCCCTGCTGCCTAGACCGAGGAGCAGCAGTCTGGATAGATGAATGCCACTGAGCTTCTATATTCTGCTGTTTGTTTTTCCCCTTGAGGTACAAGAAAACCTCTATAAAACACCTCTGTATCAGGGCTCTTGTTATTTGTATATACTTTAAAAAAAGGGTCTTTACTATGTAAAGGAGGTTTCTGAGCAGATAGACTTATTAGAAACCTCAAAAATTAGAGGTAGGAGGGTTGGGGAGGACAGCCATAATCCATGGGGAAAGAGAATGAAAAAAAAAAAAAGAATAGAAAAATAGAATCAATAAAACTAAAAGTTGGTTCTTTGAAAAAATTTTGTAAAAGTGGCACTTTTTTGGCCAACAAAAATAAGGGAAAATAAAAAACATCAGAAATTAAACTGGGGACATTAAAATTAGACATAAATATAAAGGGCAAAATATGAACAAATATATGCCAAGAAACCAGACATCTCAGGTGAATGCGCGAATTTCTAGAGACAAAACTCTGCCTAAACAAGAAAAAATAGAACATCTCAACAGACTTTAACAAGTGAAGAAACTGAATCAGTATTTAAAAACTAACCAACTTTAAAAAAAATCTGAACCAGGTAACATCACTAGGGGAATCCTAGAAGACATTTTAAATTGTTCTAAGGTCTTCCAATTGCTTGTTATGCATCAGAGAGTTGG